ACGGTAAGTCCACGGAAAAGGTGCCCTCTGTGAAATTCTATAGTTCAGCTGTTGTCAGCACCATTTCAAAGACCAATACCTTTACCACGCCCGTCTCAGTCAGTGCTGTTGGTATGAACCTAACCGCCCAACCGTTCGATCCAAGGAACTTTCCCATTAAAAAAGAAGAAATTGAAGAAAACAATGGGACTCCCACTGATACCAAGCTATGTCATGACCATCAGCAAGGATGTATGTACGTTTACGGAAAGGATTCAAGCCCTGTGGAAAGTACAAGACCAGATCAAAACTATATTGACATTTAAAGGAAACAGTCAGAACTTTCAGAAATGATTGTTACACAACAGGCCAAAAGTTTTTTACCTAGCCATAAGCTGCCTATGTTCTGTGGAGATGTGATGTGATACCCATCATTCATAGCAGTCTACTCAGAGGAAGAACTCTCATCCCGTCAGTTGTACCTTGTGCTCCAAAAGGCACCACCTGGATGAATGTTTTGAGTTTCTAAAGATTGTAGGAGACGGAATCTGCCGTAGAGGTGACATGCATCATGAGATGCCTCTACTGTTTAGAGAAGAGAATGTCCAACCACCAAATAACCGTCTTCAAGCAGTGCAACGCTTGCATGGCCTAAAGAAGAGACCCTAAGTTGACATATTCAGTTGTTTTCGTGAGCAAAGATAATAAATATGAAAGAAGAGTGAGTTGCAAAGGTCTTCGTTTTTTTTACCTTAATAGCAGCTGTACCCTCTTCTGCAGTCTTCGTCTAAATTTTGCAAGGTCCCTCCTAATCTTCTGCCCTGTTTGGTCAGTCTTGACTTCTGAAACTAGATTATCGGCATCAGTCTTTTCGTCTCATCCATATTTACAGAGGAGAATCTCGTCAATAAACCAATTTTTGTTACGACAGATAACCGGCCGAAGTATCGAGCGATTTGCCACTCTATCAACCAGTCAGTCTTAGACAACAATTCAGGCCGGTGTCGTCTCTTAAACTCGATATTTGGGAAGCCACATAAGAGGCGGTTGCCTTACTAGTTTCCTCCCTGTCCATCTCATGTCTAGGAGAGAATTCTTTGCTTTCTGAGAAAAAGGTGGCTGTTTTTTGTGTTTTCTATAGAGCCCTTCCAAAGTCCAGTTGACTAGTTAGGGATTGTTCGTCAAAATTTTACCTGAGGTCCGACCTTGAACGTAGTCACCCCCTATAAAATGGCAAGCCGGTCCTCGTCCATTTCCTTTTGATAACCACCCGCTTCTACAATTAGTTTGCTGAAGGTTTCTTATGTGATGAGCTAAGCAAGATCCTGAGGTGCTCCAAACTGTGCCAGTTGGTTTGCGCTATAAACTTGTCGCGGTTCTAAAGTCAGAGGGAAGATCGCCCACCTCAAGTTATGTGAACGCCTCCATAGTATCTGCATATCCCTAGCAATCATATGATATAAAGTCATCTCAGTCACAAATTACCAGTAAGGAAAACCGATATTCAGATAAGCGCTCTTCTTGCCCTTCTTCCTAATTCATTGTCGACTCCAAGATAACAGTTACAGTATGCGTTCTATTAGGTTTAGAGTCACCTTGCCACCAGGAAGACTCGCCACCAGCTAGCTTTGATTTCTTCTGGCATTTTCAGATTCACCTCTCTCTTAACTGTACGTCTCCAATTTTTATGAGGAGGATACTGGCATTTACGAACCCGAAGGTCTGAATCTCACACCAGCTTGTGCATGATATTTGAGGCATATTATGAAATCGCAGCCTTTGTAATCTACAAAAAAGCTAATACGCGCTAGAATAAGCTTCTTCTCGGACGAAACGCATGTTTGGGATACATTGACGTCTCTCGAATGTTTCCTTTTTTGATGCTGTAAACCCACGAATTTAGAGATATGAGCTGTTACCATCCCTGACCAGTGCGAGAAAAATAACATTTGGTTCTACCGTTAATTGCAAATGAACAAGGCAACTGCTCCATCTTGACTCTATCAATTCGAGTGATAGGTTGATTTGAGGGCTTCTTAAACTCTTGATTTATTATATGGCATCACTATGAAGACGTATAATACAACTGATACACTTACATTACATAGGATTAACAATGTCTGTTGCGCTGTTGCGACAGGGAGGAAAATATTACCGGAAGTGTAAATTTTTTAAGAGTTTCAGAGACGTTTCAAAGATGTCTGTCTTCGGCTGTCACAAAAAATTGACCCCTCCAAAATTCACTGGAAAAAATTAACTTACAAACTCCTTGTTAAAAAATTGGAATTCATTTGACCAATACGCCGGTTGTTTCAATTTTGCTTTTTCCTCGGACTATTATAAAACAGTTCATAAATTGACCAATGAATAAAATATTTTGAAATGCCGTTTGGAATCTGCCTACAAATCGAGGGTAGACAAAGTTTTCAAAACATTTGACAAGAGTTTCATGAGGTTCACCTCGATAATTTTCGTTGGCCAGAGTCAAGACGCGCCAAGCTAAGCGACATCGCCCTCCAGTAAAATAATTTTCCAAAAGATAAGTGTGAGGAAATGCTCTTTTTTTTTTTTTTTTTCCATTATTGTGATCAAAGTCCAATGATGTACCTAACTTGGTACTTACGGTATCAAACCATTGATTAAGATAGGGTGAGCTTAGTTTTTCTGCCGAGGTCAACGTGACTTCAAATTAAAAGCGTTTTTGACGGAGCAAACTAGTGAGCATCACTGCACGAACTGAGAAAGTAAATACTTATCTCACACGTGTTTCGTCTGACAATAGTAGACTTCATCAAGGAGTTTTACAAGTAGGGTAAATAAGCTTGCCCATATACAAATAGTAAATAAGCTGTCTCTTTACTATTGAAGCCAGTGGATAGAATTCGTCAAGTGCGCCTACGGTGTTATACATGCGTGATATTTTTCGGACGTTACATGTACGAGTACGTGATCCGTTTAAGGGTCACAGATTTAGTATAAATATTTGACCCCTCAGTGCCACGTTATGTCTCTAGTTTACAGAGGTCTTAGAAAGCTTCATTATATGGATTTGCCTTCTGCGCGTAGAAGGCTAAAAGCGAATTTTTGGGCGTAATTGTCTTTGATTTCTCAATTGGTGTTGTCGCAAACAGTTTTTGGGAGTCACGAAACAAAAAACTTTTTAGGACCTAGTTTAATGTTCTAATGGAAATAAATAGCAAATAAAGACACATTCTCTTGAGAAATAAAGTTATAAATAACAGGGGGTTCTTTGAAACAAAGAGTGATGGAAAAGGTTTCAGTTCTAGTCAATATTGACTTTTCATAGCCTACTTCCAACTCTGAGGGAACGCACCGAGGGAATAAAAAAAACATACGTGTGTCATAATGCAAGAAAGGGAATAAAATGCAAATAAAGAAAAGGAGAAAACACAGAAACCTGTGTTGCAGGTTGCAGATATCTTTTGAGCCAGACCTACACACCTAACAAAGAAACTCGAAAGAGTGCAGTATACGAGCTGCCTCGCACGTGCACGCAGGAAAGGCCATGACAATCAGCGAAAATAATGACAAATGCAGATGATGTTTGCAGTCAAAAAACAGGCAAATAAGATAACGGAAGAATAAAGAACTTCCTAAAAGTGTCTATTTCTACGTGGAATTTCTTGATGATGGAAAGTGGAAAGTGGAAAACATTTTCCAGTCTTATTTTCTGGAAACATGGCGCAGTTCATGAATTTTAGGGGGGCAGAGTTTCCCGTCATCCACGGTACGTAAAAGCCGAAGCCGTTACACAAGGGAACTTGTACGTCAACAAGCACGCGACATGTGACTTTGAAATCTCCACTCCTGTTATAGTTTCCTTATTGTGAACTGTGCGATGATGATGAAAAACAATCAAATTATAGACTAATGAATGTTTTGCTCTGTACAAGAGCTCTATTTCCTGATTTTAACAAATCTTCAAAGTAATAAACGTCAGAAAGGAACGCTGCGATTTTCTCATCGATTTTTCGCCTACATTCATCTCTCTAAACGTGAAATTTTCCCTTCCTATAAAAAATTTCGAAAGTTTTTCACATTTTTCACCTTTCTTGATCAATCGTCTTGTATAAAGAGTTAAAAATGTAGGTTTATTTGGTTAAGTGACCACCTAGAGCAAGAATTTCGTGACAGGTGTAGTTGAGAGAAACTTGTGACAGTCGCAGATTTTAAAAGCCACCCAAGGCAATAATAGCGGAGCTCGCAGAGCGTAGCCCCATAACTATACAAAATAGTAGTAACCCATCATAGTAACCCATCAAGCCCAAAAAATTTGGTCGTACGGTCGTACGGTCGTACGGTCGTACGGTCGTACGGTCGTACGGTCGTACGGTCGTACGGTCGTACGGTCGTACGGTCGTACGGTCGTACGGTCGTACGGTCGTACGTTCGTACGACCGTACAAGGTGCTACTTTTAGCATGCGCGGCCAACTTTCTTTTTAGGCAGGAATGGCTGAATGGCTGAAATGGCCTTCACTTGAACACAACAGAATCTTATGCGTGTATAACCATGTAGAACTATTTATTCGGTATCGAAATTACATCCCAAATGTCATGATATTTGACTGAAACTCAGCTTACCCATCTTTCGTTTAGACTTCGAAACTTGCTCCTTTTCACCACCGTTTTAATGTTTTCTTGTTGTTCAAAAGGTGGTAGGGCCATTGCAGACCGTGATTTTTTTTTTACTTGAGAACCAGATCACAACACCGAAGCCTTTTCACGCTAAAATATTAAACTACTGAGATTTCCTTCGCCGCCGTAAGCCGCCATTTTATCTTTCCCTGAATACTAGTTCCCAAGCTTCGAGCCCGAAGGTCTCACACATGCACTGAAATTATGCTATTCGTTATTTCAGGGCCAATTACTGGGCCAATTAAGAAATAACGGTAATCGTTATTTTGGTGTCGAGATCGGGTTCTGCACCACTCTGATAACCAGGCCCCCTCCCATGATAGTAACCCATAGTGCATTGCTCAGCGCAAGTACTCCGCTGTTTCTTCCGGTTCCTTGGCTGTGTACAAATCGTCATGGCCTGCACAGTTCGGAAGCGGATGAGGTTATAACGTCGGCATTAACTTAACCAACTGCTGAGCCCGTAAACGCTTGACATCATGTACTTCGATCAGGGTGAAGAAAGAGAACTGAAAGTTTCTGTTATGTTCAAACGAGCTCAAGGAAGAAAGAAAGTCCTGACATCAGTAAATTGGAAAGAGAGAGTTTTTGTGTTAACGCCTAAAAATCTTAACTATTTTGAAGGCAGTTGCGAGGTAAAATAAGGGGATTAATTTGCATATGTTATCTTCTAACAAGGAACAGTAATGAGCTAGTTTTTGTTAGTCGTGATACTATTTTGTTTTTATATTTTCGATTGAATAACAAAACGTTTCCTGGTTGCTATTAATGGCACTCAGTGCTTACGGAAACCTTCGTCTTAGGCTCCTCAAGGTATTTGCTTTCATTTTAGGTGAAAAATCGCGCACTGCCCTATCTTCCAAGTCCATTGTCAATATTTGATTCGATAATAAGTGCGCCAAATCAATCAAATGAATGTTTATATCGAATGTGAACCCATGAAGTGTTTCGATATTGGTTTAATTTAGATAATTTCATCGTTCTCCTTCATCAAATCTTTAATATTCATGCGGATAATTATGTTTATAATTTTTTTGAGAGAAAAGTAAATATGGAATGTATTACACACGCTACCTCATAAGTCAAGGGTATTTCTTAGAGAGAGGGACATAGTCTTTGAATTCTTGCACTTACGATAAACATGTATTCTGTTTTGACATGAACATGTAAAAATAATCAGTTTTCTGTTGGCCAAACTGTTAGGCATTTGTAACAATGCGCCATAACTATGAAAAGTAATGTTTAAAAGATAGATTCTTTTAAATGTTATGGTTTTACACCTTACAAGAGAAATTTAATGAGTACTGAACAACTTTGATAGTAAGGTAAGATTTGGATTTTAAACAGTGCCTTTTTTATAAATGTCAATTGAGAATTTTTCTTTGTGCTCAGGAGTGTCAATTTTTGTAAGTTTTGATGTAATCGATGTACCAACTCAGTCATAATTAGGTTTGATTGCTTCAATTTGAATGGATTAAGTGTAAAACAGTTAGTGGGAAAACATGACTTGCTCCAGAACTCTTGGAAATTATTCATTTTAATGTGTTTATTTCTTTGCCCCTCTTAATGCATAATTTCTGTATTTTCCTTGAATGCAGTTATACATGGTTGTTCCAAAAGGCATAAAAAGAATACTGTTAAGATCAAATTTCTTTTCTTTGGCAGATGGTGGGACTTCCCAAAATTTTTATGTGATTTATCGTACACATCTTATTGTAGTTTATTTTACTACCAATAATTCTTTTGGAGCTTTGAACATTTTCCAAATGAAAGTCACAGCCATAATTTCAGAAATAGAAGATCAAAGTTAACTGCCTTTTTTGATAGTGTGATAGGGGTCTTTATATCAAAAAGCTAATATTTCCCCTGGCAACTTATGGTACACTGGTGTCTTTCTTTAAATTTTAATATGTGACACCAACACCCTTGTTTTACTTTGGATTGATGTTAATTGAGTGTCTATGTATCACATGCACATGCATTGTGTATTAATATGATGCCTACAGTTACTTACTGAACTTCCATTGTTTAACTTTCCCTATTTAGTTCATGTTGTCTTCTTTCAGAAACGTGGAAGATGCAAGGGATCCATTCCTTTAAGTTCAGTAAAAGCTGTAGAGTTTGTTGATGACACAGCATTTGACCAAAACAAGAAGTTTTGCTTCTGCTTTCAAGTGTGTACACCATTTTCTTTTTGTATTTGCAAGCCGTATGGTAATTTATTATCTTACTCATGTCATCAATTCCTTGGTATATCTTGGGTTTCCAAACTCAACTTTTTTGAAGCAACTCAAAATCCAACCCTAAGTTAAATGTATTTCTGGTAACCTAAAATAAGATTTTGGTTGCCCTCTCAAAAATGAATAAATCAATGCCCACCTAACTGCCCCTCCCTGTATGTGTATATTGTTTTAGTTTTTTTATGTGAAATAAAATTACTAATAGAAATAGCCCGTGATAAAGTTTACAATAATTAAATTAGCAACTAACTAGAAGTAGCTGCAATGAATGATGCAGCATAACAGTTCAGATATTCTTGCATATGACCATATGATGCATTAGAAATGGAATCTGCTGTAGACAAGCACTTTGATATATCTTTAAGGTGATTCCAATTCTGTGTTCATTGTACAAGTACTTTCAGAAGGTAATTAAATTCCTCCAGTGTGTAAAACAATGTGAATGTATGGCCAGGGAATCTTCAAGGCTTAACATTGTTTTACTGTAAAGGTGACCCACAGTTAGAGTAATTAGTTGACCTTCACATTACTTCACTTGTTTCTGTCTGTAGGTTGTTTATGATGACTTAGTCCTCTATGTAAATGCAAAAAGTGAACAAGAGAAGAAAGAGTGGGTAGAGGCTATACAAGATGGTACGTACTCAGAAAATGTAGCAATAGTTGTTAAATGGCTTGGTTTGGTCAGATTGTCATACCATAGGCTTGATTTCTGTGGATATCCCTCCACTGGTCTTTGATCCCTTCAGAAAGGTGAGCAGGCTCATTTCCTGAACAGCAGAAAATGATGAAACTTAGCATATATCACTGAGAAGAAAATTCCTTTAAAAGAACGTGCAGTTACATTGCTGTTAAACAGGTACTGAATGCTAGGCAATCACAAAGTTCAAGGAGCCAAGTTTAAATACCATAAGATTGATGGATTTATTTGTTTTAGACTTAATCACACATTGAAAATTGCTCTATTGATAAACATATCTTAGCCAAGGAATGTAGATTCTATCATTATTGGATGGGTTTTATTAATCATAGTAAGATGTGTTTGTTAAAAAGTATTCACCGAATGCAAATATGGTGGACTACTTGGGAAGTCCAAGTTGAGTTGTGAGAAAGCAAGGCTAGTCAGTCTTCCAGGTTTGTGTTGACAATGTGGCCCTGGAAAAGTAATGCGTAGTTGTCAATCTATTCTGTTTTATCTATCTATGCCTACAAGTGATCATGTTCCTGAATATCATCTGAAGAGAAGAAAATGTTACACTTGAGAGAAGGTTTCAACGTTTGAGATTCTCTGTTCATTTCTGAGTAAAAAAACAGTATATATATGCAATTTGTTGAGGTGAAGGAAAGAAGTTGACAATTGTAGGGGGAATTATAGTTTGTCCACAGGATTTCAGGTGAGAAGAGGTAAGAAAATGCTTACACATACAAGTTTATTTTCCATCAAATACTTCACATCTGATGCTGACATAAACTTATAAAATGGCCCTCCAAATAAAGCCATGTTCATAGTCATAGACAACTTTTTAAATCCAGGTGAGGATGGGGAAATATTTGCTGCAGAGGTATCTTGAGAGTTGTTCTGGAGGACTTTAAGGATACTGACTCCAAGGATGAGGACAACATTACATCTGCCAGAGGGGACACTTCTTAAAGCTTAACAAAGCTTGAATCAGTTTAGGAATTTTTTGTTTCATGTCATGTCTAAGGAGAGACTTTTCTGAGTGCCACCTAGCACACTTGAATAGCGAAGTATAGTGTAAAAGTCTTTTGAGGGAAAATGATCAGGAAGACATTACCTCCTCACTGTCATTTGGCTCAAAATGTTTATTATGTAATCAATAAGGATGGTTAAAATTGACTGGCACCGTGATTCTAATGTAGCATTTGTGTCTTGATGAGTAGCACAGTCTCGCTGCCATTTTGGACTCAAGTGCCTTTGCTAACAAATATCTTTGGGAAGGTTTTACCTCTAAATCTCACACTTTCCACAATATAAGCTTAGTTATCCTACTTCATTTTGGTGTAAAGAAAACAAGGTTTGCGACAAAGTGAAAATTGTAAAAAAATAAATATTTCCTGAAAATGCGTGAATTTCTGGGTGTAATGCGTAACATGAAATGTATCAGACGGAAGAAAAAAAATGAAATATCTCAATATAGAACGCACATGGGGCCACTATTTTTTGGCCGTTAGTAGTTTATGACAAAAGCAACAGGCAGTATGATTTGCAACAAGAATGGTTTATTCTAACGCAAGTTATAAACGTCTGTTTTTATCACTGAACAATGTAACGCTTGCAACTATTAAAACAACCATAGTGTGCAAAACTAGCAATAATGATAATTTCAACTGTGTAAGCAACAAACTAATAACAAAAATGTAATGGGCATACATCATAATATTTACAAACCAACGCCGAAGTTGAATCGTCAAGTAGAATGTTCACGAGGCGTGAGTGGCCCAGTGGTCAGAGCGCTGGACTCTGGGTCGGATGGCCTGGGTTCGAGTCCTGGATGGGACACTACGTTGTGGCCTTAAGCAAGTCACTTCACTCACCTTGCTTCGTCTTCTCGGATAAGACGTTAAGCCGGAGGTCCCATCTCCTGCAGGGTTTGGGGTAGGAGACGTTAATTTCCCACGCACGAGATTACTGTGTGATGGATGTCCTCCCCTGGGTTGGGTTGGGTGGGTTTGTAACTTGTAAGGCGCATCTGAATATATTCATATAGATATTTGCGCCGAATAAGTATTTATTAAATTAAATTAAATTAAATGTTTTCCAGATCAAAATAAAACGCGCGGAAACACATTTTGTAACGGCCATATTGAGCTTAAAACTCCCTTTAAAAGAAAATGAGGAAATCATTGCTTCAATGTGAACTAATAATTACAAAACCTCTTTTTTTCCATTTTTACATTGATTTTCTTAAGATTTTATGAAAAACCAAAAATGTGCCACGCCCAAAGGGATTGTGGGTAATACCAAAATTAGTGTTATTAATGCAAAATAATAAAAATATTTACAGATATTGATTACAATGTACATTTTGATCAAAATTAAAGTCAAAAAGTGATAAAAAGTGAAAAAATAAAAAAATAGTTATTTTTGAACTATGTTACAGCAAATGGCTATGTGACTGTGCTACTCATCTCTTGTACCTTTGGGGCAAGTGGTTTAGGATGTAAATAACTTCTTGAGGCTGAGGTTGTCTTTCAGGAGGAACATTTATTTTTCTTGGGAAAGATACTGACTAGGCAAATTGGCCAGGAACACCAATATACAATAAACACCAAGTTTCCTAAGTAGGAAGGCTGAACAAAAAACCAAGTATGCCTTTTATGTTTCTCATTACAGGTGTGAAATTTTAGCCTTGGTTTTTACATAGATCACTAAATGTGTGACTTTTTCACTATTTATATTAACAAAAGAGTTCGTATGCTAGTTGTATAGGGATAATTGTTCTCAGTTCCATACATCCTTTTGTTAACTCTGAACCTTTTGGTGTGTCTTATAACTGAATCTTTTCATGTAATTTTCAGTTGGGAACTTGGTTTGACTAAGTTGCTAAGTTTGGGGTGCATTTTATAGCCAAGTACACCTTATAACTGAGAAAGTGCAGTACATGTAGAACAGAATGTATGGACAACAACTCCTTACTTTCCAACAGCCTTGCTTTCAAAACTGACTAGCCTTGCTTCTGCATAACTCAACCCAGGCCTACAGAGTAGTCTGCCATATTTACATTCAGTCTATAGTTGTTTACATGTATTTCTTTATCAAAAAAAAAAAGGAAGGAAAACTTGTATTAAATTGATTGACCATAACATAAGTATGAAGGTGTCTTAACTTTTCATAATAACTAGACAATGATATTTCAAGTTAATAACTTAAAAATAGAACTATGAACTTATTTTGGAACTTGTTTGAGGCACTGGTATTTAATTATGGTAGATACATATTAAGTAGTCCCAGAAAATAGCCATACCACCTCCTGAAGAGGTACTGAAAAGGTACCTCAAGATACTAGTCAAATGTCCTTTACCATTCAATTGTGAGGAAGGGAACTGTTTTAACAGCATTTCTGTCATAACCTTTTTTTTTACTTGTAATGCAAGAGTGCCGTTGTAACAAGTTTCTCCTCTTGGAATATCATCCTGGAGTATTTATCAACAAATGGTCATGCTGTGAAGGCAAAGAAAAGACCACTCCTGGCTGCAAGGAGTCCTTTGCTGCACAAGAGAGAAACAGCTATCAAGGGGGTGAGTTGTTTACATTGATAAAGATTACTACTGCCAGTAATAACTTGTTGGATTATAATGTGAGCACCTGAGTACTACAGTCAAAGCTGTATTATTCGGTCAGCCGTGGGGAATAGCGGGGTGACTGCTTAATACAGGTTGACTCCACAGAATAGGGGTCAAAAGCAATTTAAAACACCATTTTGCCCTAACATTCATACGAAGAAAGATAATCTGCAATATGTTGAGGGCATTTGAAGTGCTATCACTGATTTTTGGGCAATAAATAATTTTAAAAATTTTAAGTGACAGTTCAATACAAACAGGCTGTTTGGACTCAGTGAAGGGTGCACACAACTGCTAGTTAGAGGTGACTACTTAATACAGGAGAAAATTATAGTATCTAAGGGAAACATTTTTGGGACTTTGGTAATGGATGGCTTAATACAGTGTGACTGCGTAATGAGGAGTAGGGTATCACAGAAGGAAAAAAAAAATTGTTCAATTTCCTGAAAATTGAATATCTTTTAAAAACACTAAATATCTATCAAGTTCTGAAAATTTTATTTTGGTATCTTTTTTACTTCAGAAGATATAAAGCAAAAAGTAATTTGAGAGTAGAACAGAAGGCACGAGGTTGATGACACTTCATGTCAACTTCATTTTGTCACCTAATTAACAATTGCCATGAATGATTCACAATACACACTGTGAAGTAGTGAAATTGCTCATTCGTCATCAAGTCTACTTACATTAGTTCTTTCCAAAGGGCAGAGACATTGTCATCCTGGAAAAAAAGAAAATCAATTTGCAGTTTGCATTGGAGGGGAAATATTGTTCAATGATAGTGAAAAGGGTTCCTACTAGACTTAAGAGATTCAGTGGCCAGAGTCTGTTTTATTTAAGTTTCAGTAGGGACTAGTGGCAGTCCACAATCATTTAGGTAGCATTGCACTTTGAGCATCAATCATTGAAAAGTTGTGTTGTATTTCATGTATAGCTCTCCTTCTTCATCCTGACCTCTTTCCTCCTCTTTTTTGCTGGTTTAAGCACCTTCCATATTGACACAAATGACTACATATTCATGTGTGTTACACTTAACCTTCTTGACCTAACTCCTTACAAATTGTGTTTGCTCTTTGTCTTCTGGCATGCATCTGCACCAACAAACAAAACAGTGTCAAATGGCTTGCTCCAATGCGATTGGGTGACAGCCTTCAGAGGTGTGGAGTGGAAATATATTTATGTAAACAAACACCAACACCCCAAAAAATTTCAACTCACTTTTTCTGGTAGGGTGTTTTGGCTTGAGGTGTGATCTTTGAAGAATTTATTCTTGGCTGATATTTGGTCAATTTTCATGAAATGTGGAGATTATGTCAGAAATATATGGAACCCCAATAGTATCTCCTGGATTTTCAATTTTTTTCCTTCTTTCTAGAGATATATTGTTTACAGTGAAAATTCTGCTCAAAAGTGCTACTTTGAAGTTAAAAAAATGATAAAGAAATAACAAGGCTTTCAAATGCAAATCCCGGACATGTTTTTTAAGGTCAATATGTGCAGATCATGTTCCATTAAAAAGGAAACCTGTTGATTAAAATGCATCATCAAATAAACTTTGCTTGAGAAACATCTCAGCGTGAATGAACATGCTCCCATTCTGTATCATGGTAAAAATTATGAAAATAAATTTTATTATCTAAAAATCCGTTTTTAACTGTAAGGAAATGTATACTTATACTGGGTTAGGGCATATAGTTTTCAATCTTTCTCAGTTTGACTGAAAATGTTAATTTTCTTTCTGTGATAATTGTTTTATTTTTCCTTATGCTGCAGGTAGACGATACACAGAGAATTCAAGGACATCAAATTTTATAACTTCCCAGCCCTTACCTCCTATTCCTCCCACATCTGTGAGTATCCAAACTGATACTTGCAACATAGATTTGAACCTTGTCCATTGATAATCCAAAAAAAAAAATTTTTATCATTTTACCATTCATAGTGAGGTTTTATTGAATGAAATACCATTACTTTGTGTTAATCATTTTCTTCATTATCAACTAAAGGTAATGAACTAGATGGTTATGCATGATGAAGAGGTTTACCTTCAGTTTACCAACTATTTTCAATGTAAACTGATTACACCATTCATTTTTAAAATTTTTTTTGTCTTAATTTGCAATTATATTGGAAATTGATGCAGAGTCAAGGACAGCCTCAGCTGGAACAGAAAGCAAAGAGAGAACAAGAAAAGAAACCACCTGAAGTTGTTGTGGCCATTTATGATTTTCGTGGAGCTGAACAGGGTGATTTATCACTCCTCAAGGTTACTGTGCCATTATATGCATATTTGAGATTTTTTAGATTTAAATGCAATCACAGTTACACCTTTTAGAATGCAGTTGACTTAATCTTTACTAAACTCAAAGTTCTAAAGAAATTGTGGTGCTGTGTTGGTGCGGGGTATTGAAATATCAATTGCCCCTGTAAAGAGATTCTAAAGTTCAATTGCTCGTCAGGAGTGCTTTTAACTTGGAAACTGTTTTTTCATGTTTTTGTTATGAGCCTCACTTCAATCCCATGCTTTGTCTCTTTATCATAACTTTCTGTCTTTCTGATAATTACTGACTAGTTTCCAACATACTGAGATGTTGCTGTCATTGGATCACCATTAATTTAATAAATTTATTGTTGGAAGGTCTTTAAAGACTTTATTTTCAGCAACAATAAAAAAAAAAAAAACGAACAAACTAGGTCAACAATAACATTTTTCAGGTCAGTTTTGTGATTTAATATTCACCTCTTAACTTTACACCATAGAAGCTTAGCATTAAAACTAATTTGCTTGTTACATGAATGCTGAACACAGGACATAGGATTAGCCTCTTTCACTACAAACTTAGTCTAACTTTTCTGTTCTAGGTTGGTGCTGTACACCAATACATACTGAAAAATATTGAGTATAACATAAATGGGTATTGATATCTGTTTCTTTCCTGATGTTCTCTTGCAGGGAGAGAATCTTATTGTTATTGATAAACAGTCAGATCACTGGTGGATAGCCAAAAACTCAAGAGGGTTTGTTTCTTTGTTCATCTTCAATTACTTCGAGTAGCCTGGCCAGGTGTAAGATGATAATCACTATGGACAGTGTCTGACTTAGATTTTCCGTTGCAGAAAGACAATACTTTTGAATCACAGATTGAAAGATCATCTCATCGACAGAGAGTGCATTTCCCAGTATCTTAAATATCTTGCTAATTCTCGTGAAAAAATGTTTTTGTCCATGGAAGGCAGGGGAATCAAGAAAGTTATCTCCTTGAAGTTTATATAAGTTTTGGTTTATGTGCACCATTTGTGCAACAACAGCAATAGAGAAGAGACTAAATGAAACAGGAAAAAATGGGGGTAGACTGTTAGGGGAAGTGAACCAAAATCAGGATTATACTGTAGACTTGTAGAGGTTGTCATCTCTGCAATGGTAACCAGTCAATTCGCCGACGGACCAACTCGCCGACGCCAACTCGCCAACGCATAAAATCGAGTAGAGACGTCGGCGAGTTGGTCGTCAATCCAATACAACTTATTAGAAGTTAAACATACAGAAAAGTAAACGATATTTAGTAAAAAAACACTGGTGAACATTGGTGAACATCTCACAGAAGCTTAAACATTGGTGAACATTGGTGAACATCACCAATGACTATAACAGCTTAAGACGCGAACGAGATAATTATTGTGCGACAACAACACCGTAAAGACTCATCATGTCAATCGCTCAGATTTTTTAACGAAAACTTGGCTTTCTAGACAAGATCTTAGTAAAAAGCATTTCTTTTTATTTGCAACAAAGTTTATAAGGATCTCAAGGCGAAAAAAGGGAAGTAAACATCGCCAATGACTCAAACAGCTTCAAACGCGAACGAGTTATTGTGTGACATCAACACTGTAAAGACTCATCATGACAATCGGTCAGATTTTTTAAGAAAACTTGGCTTTCTAGATAAGATCTTAAGTAAAAAGCAAGTCTTTTTATTTGCAACAAAGTTTATAAGGATCTCAAGGCGAATAAAGTAAAGTAAACATCACAATGACTCTAACAGCTTCAAACGCGAACGAGTTATTGTGTGACAACAACACTGTAAAGACTCATCATGACAATCGGTCAGATTTTTTAAGAAAACTTGGCTTTCTAGATAAAATCTTTAGTAAAAAGCAATTCTTTTTATTTGCAACAAAGTTTATAAGGATCTCAAGGCGAGTAAAGTAAAGTAAACATCGCCAATGACTACATCCGCTTCAGACGCGAACGAGTTATTGTGTGACAACAACACCGTAAAGACTCATCATGTTAATCGCTCAGATTTTTTAACGAAAACTTGGCTTTCTAGACAAGATCTTTAGTAAAAAGCAATTCTTTTAATTTGTAACAAAGTTTATAAGGATCTCCAGGCGAATAAAGTAAAGTAACCATCGCCAATGACTACATCCGCTTCAGACGCGAACGAGTTATTGTGTGACAACAACATCGTAAAGACTCATCATGTTAATCGCTCAGATTTTTTATGTTAACGTCGCTTTATTCGCCTTGAGATCCTTATAAACTTTGTTGCAAATAAAAAGAAATGCTTTTTACTAAAGATCTCGTCTAGAAAGCCAAGTTTTCGTTAAAAAATCTGAGCGATTGACATGATGAGTCTTTACGGTGTTGTTGTCGCACAATAACTCGTTCGCGTCTTAAGCTGTTATAGTCATTGGTGATGTTCACCAATGTTCACCAATGTTTAAGCTTCTGTTAGATGTTCACCAATGTTCACCAGTGTTTTTTTTACTAAATATCGTTTACTTTTCTGTATGTTTAACTTCTAATAAGTTGTATTGGATTGACGACCAACTCGCCGACGTCTCTACTCGATTTTAACGTCGGCGAGTTGGTCCGTCGGCGAGTTGACCGTAATTCTCTGCAATGATCAATATATTCCACTTGATGAAATCTTTTGAGTTTTGTACATACTTAAGTTTTCTAGATGTCAGGTGACAGTAATGGGTAGTCACAAACAAAAGTCTAATGTCACAATGACAGTAATTTCAACTTTATGCTTCAAGTCATGGCATCCAAGAGTGCATGTTCTCTTAAAAGATGACAGCCCATAATTCTGGGTAAATTTGAAGTTGGAAAGATAAGATTGTAACAGTTTACGTGTAATTTCCAGAAAACAAAGTGTAGATCTGTATGGTAAATCTAAACTTGCAATTGTTTTTATTATCAACTGTAAAGTATCAGAAAACATAAGTCAGTCTCAAGTTTATTTCATATAGATGTGAAAGCAATAAACAATGAAGGTAGGGGTATGTCATGGCTTTATTACAAAGTTAACATTGATTGGTCCTTTTTTCATGCGAGGCAAATTATAATTTACATAATGCTACAAACAAATGTTTAATTTCAGGGAACAGGGTTACATTCCTAGTAATTATGTTAGAAGACAAGGGTTGGAAAGTGAAAGGTTTGTTTTATTTTTTTATTTTTATTTTCTATTTGTGCAATTTTGTTAATATTTAGCAATATCCCTATGGAAAATAGAGAAATGATCAAGGGTGTGATCTTCAATTGTGATCACCCTATAATAATTGATAAAAACTGTTAATAACTGCATGGTAATTATGGCATGATCACTAAACAAATTGTGATCAGAAATCACCAGAATAGGAGCATTACCAGATCAAGTGCATTTTAAACAACAAGCAGGTTTTTAAGGATCTTTCCTGACTTTTTCCCCTCCTATCAACATGGATAACAAAACTGATATCTTCTATTTTCTTTTTTTATATTTTGGAACTCCAAATGAGTTAAAATAGGCCAAAGAATACTATCAAGTTCTCTTGAAAAATTGATATCAGTCCTTGAAGGGAAGAAATAAGCTTTGGGCTTCTTGTTGTAACATCTAATGATGGCAGTAAGTGACTTGTCATTTTCAATATTATTGCTTTTAGTTGGTTCCAGCCTGAAATGTCAAGACAATTGACTGAGGATATTTTGAAGAAAGAGGTGAATACATGGTTTTACCTCAACTTTCTGCACTGACTTCAGATTTTTCCATATGCAAATATTAAGTTTTTTACCTTAAATTGTATTTCATATACTATTTTTAAATCATGCATTTTTAGGTGAAAACAAATCAAACATCTATATTTCAGGGAAAAGAGGGTTGCTTTGTGGTTCGTAATTCAAGCAAAGAGGGAATGTACACATTGTCAGTTTTGTGAGTGCTGTCCTTTTGGTTACATTTGATCTAAAAGTGTACTGTGTTAGATCCTTAAATGGCCTGTTTTTATGTATCACTTTATTTTCTTTAATGTTTTTAAGGCATGGTGATCATGTTCGTCATTACCACATCAAGAAAGACAATGGTCAGCTTTACATATCAGACAGACACCGATTTCCCACTGTGCCTGAACTTATCAACTACCATCAACATAATAGTGGAGGTACTTTATTATCCTCTTGTTAGTTACACATTTTAACTTGTGATGTTTTGGCAGCACATCAATTGCATGTTTAAGTAGAAATTCTAATGATTTTTAAACCTACTATAACAATGAGTGGCAAAACACTTGTCATGCTGTTTTATTTTTTTAATTTCTTCTATAACTTTCATTGTTTTCCCCTCACCCCCATTTAATTGCTGCCTGATAGTGTTAACAGAATCTTCAACTTGACAAATCGACAATGGTTTAGCATGGTCAGTACTCTTATTGACAATGCTATTCGTCATCACAGCGGTCAAAATGTTGTGGACTCTCGAGGTGCAGCCAAATGAGTCCACTCATGCTTGCAATTGGACAGTGTACCATAAAAACTTGTGTGTAAACTGTACTTGTGTATAAGCTGCACCCCAACTTTCAAGCATGATTTTGAAAAAAAAAAACCTCAAAAAAAGCAGTCTTGTAAAAAAAATTTGGTCTTTTGTTCGCAGATGTTCACAATAAACTTGACATATGTAAAGTTGTGTATTTGCAGCAACTTTAATAAGTTATTCAACTCTGAAAATACCTTTTAAAAGCTTCTCTCTAATCGATTTTCCTATTCCCTGTGACTGACAACAATTGTCTTCATTACACAACTGAGAATATACGAAAGTCTTATATTTGAACTACGGATAAAGACGTGAATATGAAAGCGATCTTCACAGTAAAGAACACTACTGAGCAGTAGTGCTTAAGTAGTGTTCCTTACTGGGAAGATCACTTTCATATTCACTTATTTATCGGCAGTTCAAATATATGACTTTCATATATTCACAGTCATTTATTCACCAAACCTTCACGGGTTTATATGGAACCAGTATAACGACCAGCTCCCAGTTGGCTTGTTAGCTCAGTTGGTAGAGCACTACACTGGTATCGCAGAGGTCATAGGTTCAAATCCCATACAGGCCTTAATTTCACTTCTGCTTAAGTAGTGTTCCCTATTGCGACGATCGCTTTCCTATTCAAGTTGTCTTCATTGCTAAAGCTCACAACTCAGATGAAAACGATGGAATTTGAACTTAGCCTACGTGTAGCTGCACCCTCCCTCCCCAAAGGTGAAATGGAGGCTCCCTCCCCTCTGTTTCACCTTTGGCAGGGGAGCAAAATATTTGCTTGGTAACCACACAGTCATTGAACGAGGGAAGTCTGGACAAATACTGGACCACTCAAGACTGTATTTTACACAAATGAATGATATTTTTGTAATCATTATTGTTGAAAAAAGCAAAAGCTAATCATTTTTTGCAAAAAAAGAAAGAACTATTTACATGAGCATTCTTGAAAAATTCATTTTATCAGCCAGTGTTCTATGTTCAATGTTCAACTACTATAATTATAGTTGCTTAGTTAGAAACCACAAAAGTCCTTGCTATCAACAACAGATTTCAATGTGTTTAGTTGTTATTCACAAAAGATTCTCAGTTCAATTTATGCCCGCTACAAGCCAGTGTACTCCTTGTGAAAGCAATGGTCTCGTGTATAAGCTGCATCCAGGATTTTTGGCCCAAAACTTATGCAAAAAGGTACAGCTTATACACAGGTCTTCACAATAAATATATCACAGGTTTATTTGGAACTAACATAATGACCAGCTCCCAGTTGGCTTGTTAACTCAGCTGGTAGAGTGCTGCACCAGTATTACAGAGGACATGGGTTCAAATCCTATACAGACCTTATTTTCACTGCTGCTCAAGTAGTGTTCATAACTGCAAAGATTGCTTCCATATTCATTTCTTTATTGCATATATATAGTTCACATATATGATTTTCATATATTCATTGTCGAAATTGCTTGTTTTACACACATTTCTCTTGATTGTTATTATACACTGTACACCTGTAGGTGGTCTGTTTGTGTTAGTTTTTAATCACTAAGACAGGACATGCATCCCTAAAAAACACACCTTATTAGTGCTTCATTTTTCACTCCAAATTTTACATGACTGTTTGACTTATCTCTGTTTTCTTTTTTTACCTTTTTAGGCTTGGTGACAAGACTACGACAACCACCTTCATTTGGTCAAGCACCTGTTGCAGCATTTGGCCATGGTATGTGGATACATTTATAATGACTTCATACAGTTTTTATTTAAAATAAATCTGCAAATAAACAATTGTCAATTTTGTTTTATTTGGGAAGAAAAGAATGGACATTGAAGGCTATTTTATATTAGCAGAGTTAGAATTAAAGATTAAACATGGGATTACATTTGGGAGTCTCCCCTTAAAGATACACTATTCGTGAGAAACTGAAATTTCAGAATGTTTAACATTTTCAGATTGCTGTGCTAAAATTTTCTATAAAAAAGCCGAATGTTGACAGGTTGATTTAGATGGGAGATGTTGTTGCTGATAAATAGGGGTCTGATGTATAGAAGGTTTGGCAAGTATATAGTTAAGAGGTTTGGTGAAAATTAGAGCAGTGTATTGTGAAGTTGATTTGGGATCAAATCAGTTGGTGCATAAACATTACTGTATTTGGTTTCCTTATGTTTCTTTAATGCTTTTTTTTCTATCATAGATATATGGGAAATTCCTAGATCAGACATTGTCCTTGGCAGAGAGCTAGGTACAGGACAATTTGGGGTAGGAATGAACTTTCCTTGAAGTCCTAATTATCAAACTGACCACAAGTTTTCATTGTCTATACACTTATTTACAGCATTTCTGTACCATCAATGCACATTATAAATTTAACCATTACCCATGGTGTTGTTCCAAATGAACTAAAAATTGCATGTGTTGTTCCTATTTTTAAAGCTGGAGATCAAAATCTTTTAACTAATTACAGACCTGTCTTGATTCTTCCTTGCTTCTCAACATTCTTAGAAAGGGTTATTGTATACAGTCATACTTGTTTATATCAGCATCTACAAAATCTGGATCAAACCAGATCGCATCATGAACCAAATCACGGATTAGATCATGGAATAATGATACATAGAAAATAAGAGTAAAAAAAAAGAAAGGTAAATGCATTAATTGAAATTAGAAATGTTGCTTGACAAGCCAAAACAAAGTCTCCATAATATAATGGAGAGTAGTTCCCATTGAAAGTGTTTTTGCCTGAAAACTCCATATAGTCACTTTCATTTTTGTGCAGTACCGCCATGCATGAAGGCAAGGGAGAGGCATCTCTATTTTAATGAAGACATGTTAGGTTTTTTTAACTTTTATTTTATTTTTCTTATTATCATTATTATTGTCTCAGTACAAATGACCATGCAAAGGCTCCAGGCAAGTGAAACTTGAACTGGGTGCTATTTCTTTAGGTTGACTTCCTTGTATGACAGCACAAGATTTCCCTCTTGTAGTCAAGACTCCACACAAGGAAACATGACTTAAACTGTTTGCAACTATTTCAATGCATGGTATACAAATTCTTTATTTGCAATTCTCTCATTCATTCACTGATCTTTTAGCACTTGGGTAGTGATTATGCCAGAAATTTCAAGCTATACAACAACTTGAGTCAAGCTCCTGCATAACTCGCCTACATCCAACTGGATTATTTAAACCTTGAAATGCATAGGGTTACTAACATGCCTCTTAGGTCAAGAAGCCTCACTTAGTCAAAAAGCTTCGTTGTACTGGCTCTATACCAAATTTACCTCTCTTGGTGAGACCCAAAAAGCTGTCTATGGAAGCAAGAGTTTTCATAGATCAACAGATGCGTAGGAATGATGAGATGATGAGCACAAAGATTTCAAAGAAGCCAGCAAAAGGTGTAATTCTTGTTAGTTTGTCCACAGTGTGAAGATCACAACAGCAGCAAGGCTGCACTCTGCAGCAAGAAATGCTGTTACCAAAGCCACTGAATACATAAATTTTGGTTTTTTTTCCTTTGGTTTTCTTTCCTTCTTGGAAAATTTGAACATCTCTGTCAGTAAGCGATACTAATTTTTCAGAGTTTTTGGCTGCTATTATCCGAGAGAATGGTGAAGGCTTTCCAGTTCATTCATAGAATATAATACAAGGCAGTGCATAGATATGGAATTTTTCTTTGAGTGTTTAAATCAATAGCTCACAAGTGAATGCAGTGAATGAGTGAGATGTCAAGTTGAACATGAGAAGAAGAAATTTAATATTTACAAGCAACCATGTATTATGTTGTTTATCATATAAACGCAATAGCCCTTTACCAAAAAGAAATGTTTACTTTATTAATGAATGAAAATAAAAGGGTCGACACTCTGAATACAAATTGTAAAGTGCGTTGGTGCACATAAGATGAAAATGTGTTGAATCAGTACAAAAACAAATAGTGGGCCTAATTTTCAATATACAGTTACTGTATAATCTAACCAACAGAAAAGCACCACAACCTTACAAACTCAACTACTTTGATAAACAGTGAGCAATGTTCTTAGCAAGTAGCACCTACTTGAAGCAGTACAATACTTATTGTTAATAAACTTAATTAAACCCACCACAGTCTATATCCTAGCTCACCACTGACACAATCTCACTGCTCTCTCTAAAGTTCCTTGAAATAAGTGATCTTTTGCAGTCACTCTCTTGGTGTAGCTTTCTAAACAGTTGTTGCTCCGACAACAACAACTACTCCTACTACTACATAAGTGAGTCTTTATATATGTATTCATAAAGTGTTCTGGAACATTCCAGAAGCTTACATAAGAACTATTTTGGTAGTATTACTTAATAAATGCATGACTTGATGAAATGTTTTGGAAAGTTGTACTGTATGCAAGTCAGCAAGACTCAGCAGTCTGGAGATTGCTAGAAGCTTATATTTACATCAATTACTCATGACAAAACAAAATTATCAGTTATTGAATTGGTCCTTGCTGACAGAAGAAATCTTTCAGGTACACAGTGAAAATTGGCTGG